AATGTTGACACTTTTTGTAGTCTTGCTATGAGAGTGTGTGGGAGCTGGCTAGAAGAGGCAGAATCAGAGGCTCCACTCCAAACCTACTGAATCAGAACCTACATTCTAAACAATAAATGCGAATGTGCGTTGAAGTTTGGGGAGCTTTATTGTGCTTTAACAAAATACTGAACCACAGATTTTTGAATTGGGGGTGGGGTGTGTGTGTGTGGTGGGTGTGTGGTGGGTGTGCGATGCACCAGTTCTTCCCACCAGCTGGTTGGGATGATTTCAACCTGCAGGGGAAAAAAAGTCCACTAGGTGCTGGTTCTGTTTGCAGATAATTGAACTGAGAAAGGAATATCAAATGGTAGTATTTGTCTTAAAGTTTTAATTATTAAAAGTGACTCAGTTACATAGGAGTGGGGTGGAGACTTCTGTGTCCTTCACAGTTGCCCCACACATACTACCCCTCTGACCCCCTGGGTTCTGGCAAGCTTCCCCAGGCCTGACAGTTGGGGGAGGCAGCTGGCGGCTCAAAGCCAGCTGAAGAGTTGGCTGCAGTTCGCCCAGGTGACTCCCATGCATTCCTGCCTCTCCCCTTGCCTTAACCCCATTGTCCCGAAGTCAAGCAGTTGATTGCCGAGCAGGAATTGCCGCTAAAAGGAGTTACTCTCTGAGGCAGTGGTGGGAGTTATTTGTTGGCTTGAGAGGTTTTAGCCCAGGAGCTAGAATTTTTCACTAAAGAGTAAAAACTGGATTCTTTGTCTCTCTCGCTCTCTTTTTTAATCATTTCTGGATAAATGGCTGGAGAGGAGAGTTTTGCAGGTTTTGACATAGCTCAACAAAATAATTATTACTGGTACTGGCAAAGGTGAGGTGTTTTTTTCCTACTCTGAATGAAAATGAAGGTCGTTTAGTATTCTGTTTCTTATATATGTTTTTTGGCAATTTACATGCTAATGCTTTGAAAATTGGTGTTCTTAAACAGTTAAAGCAGAAAGGATACTTACTTGTACTTCTGGGAAAGGAGAAAAAGCCCAGAGGTTTTGAAGGATTCTGCCTTGGTTGGTGATGTCATTCCTGTTGTTTCCCCTGTGCTATTAGAGTGAACCCGAAGTCCCAGCTCTACCAGAGTTGCCCCTTTGGCAGCAGGTATGAGCAGCAGCACAGCTGTTGTCCTCTTTCTGGCTACAGCTGTGGTTGTGCAGTGACTAGAAATGAACACAACCTTTCTATGCATGGGACCTCAAGTGCGACCGCTGGACACCCAGCTGAAACTTCGCTTACGCCAAAGGTATCGGTCTCTAAAATGAATCCTGTGTGCTTCCTGTGCCCAACATCGAAACATCTTTTTCCCATCTTCACACCTTCACATCCTGCCATTCAAATTCCCACAGCGGTGGCTTTTGCTTCCTGTTTGAATACCAGGGAGTAACAACTGATGAGCCAAGAAATTTTCACTTGCAAACGGTTTCAGCCCTCACTCTTCCAAGAGCAAAACAGTAGGCTAATGAAGTCCTGTGCCTAAATTCTTGTTACTAAATTTTAGATTATCATCTTTCAATAGATTTTACTGTTAAACTCTTAAAATAGGACAGGAGGTAGTTTTTTGTATAGTTTTGATACAGCAGTGAACATTAACGTACTTTTAAAAAGATGCTTTAATATTTTGATTATTAAAGTAACCTATTTCTGAAACCATGCAAAAATGTATTGGAGTGAGGGAAACCTCACACTACCCTACTTCCCCATTTCCCACTTGGAAGACAACACTGTTTAAGTCGATCTTGTCCTTGAAATTTTCCCTTGTACTCTTGCTAAATCACTGTAATGAGGTTTATTTCTGTTTGGGGAGTTGGGAGCACCTTGGTCAGGAATGGACTGTGTGGTACATACCTGCTTGCTTTTGCTTATAGGTTGCGTTGGGAGAGCTTTCTTTAGAAGCTGCCTATTTGGATGTGCAGTGATTTTAGTTCATTTCAATGGATGGACACTTAAAATCGCAGTGTCTTAACAAACTTCCTTTTACTTATCTATCTTCAAGCGTTTGAGTGGTTTTTGGCTAAGCAGACTTTCTGCAAGTGGAAGATCTGGATGAAAGGATATATCATTTACAATTTTAAACAGCAACTTACCAAAAAGCCTTCTTGACTTTGTGCTTTCCACCACTGTTGTAGGTGTGCTTGCTTCTCTGCCCCCCCCCCCCCCCCCGCTCTGTGTAATTAGCCAACTGGATAAGTGAGGAAGGCATTTGTCTATTATTGAGGGCAAATATGTTTTCAAGTTCTTATTGGTATCTGTGTTCTGACTTAGTAGATGTTTTTGCCTACCTTTCTTCTCTTGTGTTGTATGTTGTATGTGCCCTTTTTCTTGACTGTGTATTTACTTATTAGGGAAATTAGCCCTTTGCAGTCAAAGTGTTCCAGGTTTTACTCCCTAGTTTATTTCCTAATGTGCACAGTGACCCTGTTTGTGGAATGGCTTTGGCCTTAACACCAGAGCTGAATTTTAACAGCTAAACTGTTTTTAAAATTTGCATTTGCTTTTTTTTTTTTTTTATTGAATTTACAGAGAGAGGAAGGGAGAGGGAGAGAGAGATAGAAACATCAATAACAGAGAACACAGATTGGCCGCCTCCTGTATGCCCCCCACTGGGGATTGGGCCCACAACCTGGGCAAGTGTCCTGACCGGATATTGAACCAGCGACCTCTTTGTGCATGGGTCAACGCTCAACCACTAAGCCACACCGGCCAGACTGCTTGGTATATTATTGCCCAAACGTTCATTTTCAGCTTTTCAAGTCTGTTTTGGGTGTGCCTTTTAGAGAAAATATATTGTTAGACTTCTCAGCTTTTTTTTTAAACCCAAATTGGTTTTTCCCCATTTAGCTGATGTTTGATATTATATCTTTTACAAAAATACTTTGCCAGATTGCCTGAGGTTTTAGCACATTTTTTTTTCACCTCTTTTATTTCTTTTTTGGGAGATGGTCTCTCTGCCTTCTAGTGGTTACCTTTATATCTTTAAATAGAGAAGTATAGGTTTGGGTGTATTACCAACTCCAGAAATGAAAGTATTTCTTTATCTTTCCACTCATGAAAAAAAAAAAAAAGAAATTAAGATCATTTTTTCTCTCCCTGCCGCCCCTTCTCTCTTTTCTTTTCCCCATTTTGGTTGACTCATTTTGGTCTCTTAATATTTCACTCTCTAGTCAAATTATCACTATAACATGCAGTTTTCCATTCAAGAATTATAAATAGACTCTTTTTTATGATTGTGGTTACCGTACTTGTGCCCCTGCCTGTTCTCTTGGGAGTTCCCTGTTACAAAGCTGGTCTGCAAAATTGGAGATGGTCTTTCACTCACATGTCCTCAGAGTCTTCCCTAATAAAGTGTGCCCGCCAGCAGAGGTCATGGTTTTATTGCCCGCTTCCCCCACTGTAGCACACCTGTGTCCATCGCCCTTCTCGCCCCAAGTTAAGGGGTTAGTCTCTCAATTTTGACATTGTGTCTTGCTTAGGATTATAGGAAGTGGATGTCTTCAAAATGATTCTCAGGTCTTTGGGGGTCCGTCTGCACAACTTGCCCATACTACTTCTAACAGAGGAACACCACAGATGTCCCCTTCTTTAAGGACAACCAGCAGCATGTACTGCCCAGGTGAACCCCAGACTGAGAGAATGCTCTGTCTCCAGACAGCTTCTGCTTCCCCACACGCTTGTAATTTGGGGTTCACATTTAACAGAGCACTGAAAAGGAGGAAATATGAGGTTACTTGGACATTGTATTAAAAGAAAGGCCTCATTTAAGCACAGATTCTGGCTTCTTAGCCATTTCTAAATAGAAAAAAAAACACATTGATGGTGTGATTAAATTTATGGTAACCAAATGATTTATTTTCCCAATCAGAGTGAAAGGGAGGCAGACTTTCAGATAGACTGAAGAGAAGAGATAGCAAATCTTTGGCTTTCAATGCAATCTCATTCTCATCAGCAAGGGAGGCTTAATTAAGGTCACTGGTGCCACAAGCTACCTCAGCCTTCCTGGGTGGGATGATTCCTTGGAACAGCTGTACAGCCTTAACAGGTGCCTATAAAGAGGAGTCAGACACGCCTGCCCCAGTAGAGCCGACAGAGTCTGGGCTAACCAGCCAACATTTGTTTGAGGCGTGCTTCTGGAATTTACTTCTCTCATTGTGTAAGATGATGGTTGATTGGTTTGCTTTTCTGTAGTCTCTGTATTTCCTTAAACACCTACTGTCCTGGTGCTTAGGGAGCCATGGAGTAGGGGATGTGATGAGAAGTCCATGGGGTGGGGGGGGGTGCTCGTGGGGACTTTGCAGATTGTCATCTGGAAAGAAGTGCAGAGCTCCATGTAGAGAATTGGACATCTAGTATGGGGACAGTGGAGTCTAGATGCCGCGTTCCTGGTGTCGGGTTCCTATCCCAGGTCCTAGGATGCCAGTTAGTTCTCAGAAGCTTCAGAGAGGCCGGAGGCCTTTGTCAGGTTTGCTCCTCCTCTGTGAGCTTTCTTCTCGTTGACTTGGTTCACTCATTTCATAATTGTCATATTATGTCATTGAAAGATTCTTCTAATCAAAGTTCAAAAATAAATTTGATCCAAAGGAGTGTAATGTTTTAGATATTATTTATAACAGCTAGATTTTTCTAGGGAAGCATGTGTGACAGTAAATTTTTTTTTAAGATAATATATTTTATTTTATCCTCACCTGAGGACATTTTTTGATATTTTGTTCAGATAGAGTGGGAAGATAGAGTGGGAGGGAGAGAGAGAGAAACATTGACGTGAAAGGGACACATCAAGTGGCTGCCACCTGCATGACCCAGCCAGGGCTGGGGACAAACTGCAACTGAGTTATGCGCCCTTAGCGGGAACCAAACCCGGGTCTCTCCAGACCGCAGGCTGATGCTCTAACCGCTGAGCCAACCCAGCCAGGGCGTGACAGTAAACTTTTAAGTAAAATTATTTTTTCTTAAAATACTGATTTCCATTATAGGAAACCACAGCTCTGGCAGAAAACCAAGATGAAGACCTACAAGAAGGTAACATAAACCTCGTGTTGCAGTTGTTAAAAACAAAACTAACCCAGTTCTCAGGTTCCTCATTCACTCAATGGGCTGGAAACTGAGAGAGCCTACTGGAAAACACCAGCTGTTCTCTTTAGCAATTCATCCAGCTTTTGGCAACTGCCTCTCTGAGATCAGCTTTAGCTCAGCTTCCTCTCCGGGCCTTTCTGAAGGACTGGGAGATGGGGGCATTGCCAAAAAAGAAGGCAATAAGTTGATTTTAAGATCTGTTTCCTCCATAAATTTAGACTTTGAGATTACGCTTTAATTTTTATTTTTAAGGAGAAAAGCATGAGGCTGTCGCTCTGGTCTTAGCTTCCTAATTTCCTTCAGGGTTCTTGGTTCCTGGAGGACCTAACAGCCCCTCGGTGGGGTCAGGTGTTTCTTCATGTAGTTCTTGATTTGTTTTGAAGAGACCCAAGCTACCTGTTCAGAGAAGAACTCTGTTTCTGAAGAAGAGAAAGGAAGAGAACATTTGGCTTCTTTTATTTATTTTAAGTTATGGGAAAGAGAAATGCATAGATCACTTTTGCCTGTTTCTTATCAAATGTCTGTCTTATCACATGTCCATCTGGTGTCTTCCCCTACCCTCGGCCTATGTGCACAAGACAAACCCATTCACTGCCTTTGTGACTTTATAAAATGTGGATCATCCATCTTTGTAGTCCCAGTAACCAATACAAAGGCTGCATGTTAGTTGGTGTTCAATGTTTAAATGGAATGAAATTGATGTTTAAAAGAAATCTTCAGCCCTGGCTGGTTTGGCTCAGCGGTTAGAGCATCAGCCTGTGGTCCACAGAGACCTGGTTTGGTTCCTGCTAAGGGCATGTACCTCGGTTGCAGTTTGTCCCTGGCCCTGGTTGGTCATGTGGGTGGCAAACACTTGATGTGTCCCTTTCACGTCGATGTTTCTCTCTCTCTCTCCCCCTCCCACTCTATCTGAACAAAAAATGGAAAAATGTCCTCTGGTGAGGATAAAAAAAAGAAATCTTCAAATGCTATGGGGCAGTTCTAGTTTTTAGTACTTTGATTGAAATGTGAATAACAGGTGCCCATTCCAGCTCTTGAAATTTCATTGTGGTTAAAGTGTGAGTCTATTCTCCCTGCTTTTTATCAGTTCTTCAGATAGTCTATGAAAATAACAGAGGAAGACATACAATAAGATTGTGCTTTCTGGATCCAGACTGCCAGGGTTCAGATCCTTACTAGCTCTGTAGTTCCAGACAAATTAATCTCCAGTGCATTGGTGTCCTAACCTGTAAAATGGGATTTAAAACCTAACTCCTACAAGTGTGAGGACAATAGCTCTAAAGTGCTTTCAGCTGTTTTAACAGGGTCTGGTATATAGTAACCTCTTGAGGGCTAGCTACTCATATCTGGAGCAGCTCTGGCCAGTAGAAAAGCAATGTGAAACACAAATCCATCCACATAGGTAGTTTTACATTTTTTAAAATTAACTAATTAATTAATTAATTAATTTATTTATTTATTTATTTTCTTTATTGAGTTTGAGAGAAAGAGGAAGGGAGAAGGAAAGAGAGAGAAACATCGATGAGAGATGTTTCTCTCATCAATTGGCCGGCTCCTGCATCCCCCCCCCCCCCCCCCCCCCCGGGAATTAGGCCTACAACCTGGGCATATGCCCTGACTGGGAATTGAACTGGTGACCTTTTGGTGCATGGCTTGATGCTCAACCACTGAGCCACATTGGCTGGGCCAGTTTTACATTTTCTAGTAGCCAAATTAAAAAAAAAAAAGAGACAGGGAAAATGAATTTAAATGTTTAAACTTTACCTAATATATTCAAAATATTATTTCAACATGTAATTAACATAAAATTTTAATGAGATTAAAAAATATTTAAGCCCAGCTGGTGTGGCACAGTTGGTTGAGTGTCATTTCACGCACCAAAAGGTCTCCAGTTCGATTCCCAGTCAGGGCACATGCCCAGATTTCGGGCTTGATCCCCAGTGGGAGGGCATGCAGGAGGCAGCCAATCTATGTTTATTTCTCGTTGATGTTTCTGTCTTTCTTTACCTCTCCTTCCTCTCTCTCTAAAACCAATAAAAACATTTTGAAAATTTTAATATCAAGTCTTCAAAATGCAGTGTATATTTACATCACATCTCAACTAGGATTAGCCACACTTCAAGTGCTTGATAGCTACCTGTGGCTAGTGGCTACTGTATTGGATAGCATAGGTCTAGACGGCCCACAGGTTTAGGAAAGATGTAATTAGTTTCTTTCATAGGCTTCTATTACCCCTATGGCTAACATCACTGGAAGGGCCTAGATCACTAATCTGCGGTTCTAGCTGACGTTTGTTTTCTAGGCTGTGGTTATAGGAGAGACCTCATAAGCATGTGGTCCTGACACATCCCCACCAGGAGGATGCAGAGTCAGGAGGCTTTTAATGGTCAACTGCCCATGACAATGAAGGAAAGGAGCCTGGGGCATGACTTTAGGAAAGAAAATTTCAAAACATTTAGGGGAAAACCAGAAATATCTAATTTTATGACCCCTAGTTCTCAAAGGAGAGATAGTTCAAAGGGATGGGAAGCTCTAAAGAACAAGAAGCAGACAACAGTCACAGATGACTCCAGTGAAGAAAAATAAGGAGCTCATGAAACTTATATGATGGGCAGGGGCTATTGGATGATCTTGGTTCTAAAATGATAAATACAGAAGGACATTACATTAGGGAGTTCAGGCTGCTATAAAAAAAATACCACAGACTGGATAGCTTGAACAATAGAAATTTATTTCTCATAGTCCTGGACAGTGGAAAATCTAAGATTAGGTGCTGCCAATTCAGTTTCTGGTGAGGGCGCTCTTCCTGGCTTGCAGATGGCCACCTTCTTTAATCCTCATGTGGTGGGGAAGAGAGATCTCAAGCTCTGATGTCCCCTTTATTTATTTATTTTTTATCCTCACCCAAGGACATTTTTCCATTTTTGGTTCAGAAAGAGTTGGAGGGGGGAGAGAGAGAAACATCCACGTGAAAGGGACACATCGAGTGGCTGCCTCCCGCACGACCCAACCAGGGCAGGGGACAAACTGCAACCGAGGTACATGCCCTTCACGGGAACCGAACCCGGGTCTCTCTGGACCGCAGGCCAACACTCTAACCACTGAGCCAAACCGGCCAGGGCTGATGTCCTTTTTATAAGGGCACTAAGCCCATGCAACTAGGGCCCTGCCCTCATGATCTCATCTCACCCTAATTATCTCCCAAAGACCTCATCTCCAAATACCATCAAACTGGAAGTTAGAGTTTCGACGTATGAAGTTTTGGTGGTGGTTGTGGGGGGCACAAACTGTCTATAACAGGCATGTAAATAAATACAAATGAATAGCATGAACACATGTGAGTATTAGGAAGCAAATTATGGCATTAAATGAGCTAAGGCCTGCAAAACTCATAAAGGAAAACAAAGAGCTTCTTCAATTACATTCAATGCAAGGAGAAAAAAGTGGACAACATTCAAATAGTGATCTTTGAGACCTCACAACTTGAACTGATGTTTTCATGATAACATAGCACCACCTCTCATCACCGGGTTTCAGGTTTCAGAGAAGGAAGGCCAGGCTCCTCTCTTTTTCTAAATTAGTTGCTATATATAATTTATTCACATATCAACCTGTTAACTAGGCAAGTAAAGCAGCATGGTTATTTTTTCAAAGCCCTAGCAGGGACCTGGTCCGGGCTCACTGGTTGGCATCCTATCCAACCAAGGGCTCATGCCAGAAACTCTGAAGTCATCCTCCACCCTCCTTGTCTTTGATCCCAATTTTAATCCATCTCCAGATATTGTCTGTTCATCTCCAAAACCTCTCTTGATATTATCCCTTTTCTCCTCCTCGTTCCGCATCCAGATGCTGTTGAATCTGGTAGCTACTTCTTTTTTAAGTTTCAATTTCTATTTTCTATTATTGAAAGGAAACACACAATTAAAAAAATTTAACATTAATTGCCTTTAATATTTCCTGCTACTGTTTTTTAAAAACTGTAAGCCATTTCTAATATATGTTTATGTCTTGTCAAATTCTTTTTTTTTTTTTTTTTTCATATATGTTATTGGCTTCTGCAGATCCCAACATTCATTTGAACATTGAGGAATTAAACAAAGAGTTTATGGTGAAAAGTGAAGAACTCTACGACTCTCTCATGAATTGTCACTGGCAGCCTCTGGATACAGTTTACTCTAAAGTCCCAGATGAGACCCCACAGAAGCCAGATGTTCATTAAGCTACCCAGTTATCATATTAATTGTATCCTGTTTTGTTTTTTGTTTTTCCAAAAAAAATTCTCCCAGGAATATACTGGGTTCTATATGTAAATACAAATTCCCAGGACTTAAATATGATTGAAATGGTAGAACACACTGTAAATAAACGTTACCGGCAGATCCATTTCTGGAAGTGCGTTGTATTGTATAAGTGCTAGAGGAGGTCACAGTAGACCAAGCTGCATTTGGAGATGTTTGGAAATAGATTTGTGTGATGGATCTGACCTGCACTGACAGTGTGTGGCCTTAGCTACTTGATATGATTTGCTGCTCTCCTCTAATGTTAAACTGTCGTGGAGAGAACTCCTATCCACAGAGATGCAAGGTTTCTTGCTTGCACCTTTATGGGAAACGTGGATTAAAACTTGATGTTTGATTTCCATTTTCTGACCCTCGGGCGCTCTCATGGGAGGAGGAGACAGTAGAAGACAGTGGAGACTCACTCATCCCAATTGAATAGGAAAATTTCTAAGCATGGGAAAAGCTTGCCCATTAACCTTCTAAGAGAGGAATTAGGCCCCCTAAAGGCCAGTTCCAAACTTCAATGCATGTACTGACTGTGTCCTTTATAAAATACCTTCCTTTTTGTCCTGAAGATAAGCACCAACCTGTTTATTGCTTTGTCAGAGGTGGATACTTAAGTGACACCCCTGGGACTGATCTGGGTAAGTTGGAGGTCTGAAGACT